CAAAACTAACACTGGGAAGTCACCAAATGCAAGTAAAAACTGGTTTTGCCAAGCAAACGAAATTTGGCTTTCCGCAAACTGGCTTTGGAAAAAATAAATAAAATAAAAATAGAACATACACTATATAGACAGAAGTATAGGGACACCATACCATTACACCAACTGGGACTTTAATAACATTGCAATCTAAATACATAGACATTAATATATCTGCAATTGGGGGGGACCATCTACATAACAGCTTATATTCTTCTGGGAAGGCTTTCCACAAGATTTTGGAGTGTTTCCATTAAAGTTTTTGCCAATTCATCCCATTCACAGAGTATTTGTGAGGTCAAACACTGATGTGGGACGAGAAGGCCGGGCTCGGTGCGGGCCAGTCAAATACTTCCACACCAAACTCATCCAACCACTGAACTCTTCAACTATGAAATCATCATAGTGTTAGTGACTTTCGCACACCATGTGCCGCAGCACTCGGTGACTCTGTGGCTTTACAGTCTTCTGCTTGATGGCTGCGGTTTCTAAATGCTATTCTGAATTTAAAATAATACCACTTACAGCTGACCATCGAATAACTAGTAGGGATGAAATTTCACAAACTGATTTATCGCAACTTAAATTCACTGTTCTCTTCAGAATGACCAATTTTTATTTTCCACAAATGTTTGTAAATGCAGAATGGGTGCTTGATTTTAATACACGGGCAATGGGTCTGATTGAAACACATGAATACAATAATTAAGTTGTGTCCCAATATTGTCCATATAGAGTACCTTAATGACCATTTCTGTCATTATGAGATGTATATTTTACCTATATTGCAAGCACTGCGAAGAAGGCATCATTCTTGTGCCTAATACAAAAGAGCTGCAGCCATTCTATATCCCCAGTCAGCAATCTGTAATAAATTAATAAGATATGAACACAGGTAACCTTGAATGATGATCACCCTGTTAAATAAAACTGCATTTGAGAAAAACGAGCAACCTTCGGCTACTGAATACAGGAACCCACAATTATGCTAAGGGGATTTTTTTCTCTCTCTCTCTAGCTTTTTCTCTCAACTTACAGTATGAAATTCAGTGCACTTTACACATCAGCGGAAAACACCTTAATATGCAGTGGAAACCAAAATGAGACATGGGAAAATCACAGGTAATTAAGGCCGTCAATATCAAATGCACAAAAGAGGCAGAGAAGGTACTAATAGACCTAATGTCTTACATTAGCATAACACTGAACACTATATCATACATAATTTCTTCAGTGACTAGAACATAGAATCTACAGACACCGCTGAGTTACAAAGTTAAATCGTGTCATTCTCCTTTCTGAAAAGTTCAGTAGATGATTGATAGACGTTTAATTAAAACGCATAAATGAAAGCATTACATTCACACTCTTATAAAAAAAGTAAGCGTCAAATACTGTTGTTATCATAATGCATTAAATAGGACATTTTAGTAACATTTCTTATAATAATAATAATGATAATAATAATAAAAAGTTTTGGTTACACTATTTTAAAGTGTCCTTGTTGCAGTGTAATTACATTTAAGTACCGAGTAATAATAATAATAATGAACTTCATGTTCCTACAATATGGTTAGGATTTGTCTCAGGGTTCTTTGCATGTAATTATGCATAATTTATTGTTATTATAATAGTAAGTAACGTGTAACATGGACACTTTAAAATAAAGAGTTAACAAAGTTCTTAAGTAGTATTTTGTAAATATTTCGTTCAAAATAGCAACGTGTCACTGCCGCGGGTCTACATAACATTCAGTGTCTCACATTTCGCTCTACCTTAGCAACATATATTGCTATACAGGTAACACCTCCCAAAACTAAAATCTTATAAAAAAAAATTTTAAAGCTTAAATACAACATAACAAAGACAACACATAGACAAAATAAAACTCCCACTCAGCTCTCATATGACTTATTCGACAAATTAGACGCCAACGTTGTCCGAAACAAACTGCTCGCTGACGTGACATAAACCACATAAAACACGTACATACCTGATCAGCAAATATAGTCGCGTGAATTATTTAATTTCGATACCTCTAATATCCGTGTACAAAATCGCTGGACATTATAGAGCACACAAGCTGTGGCAGTCGAAGCACATACTGTTTTGGAAGTTAGTTTCTCAACACCTGCGTATTCACACCACAAACTCCGCCCACTTCCCAGAAAGCACATCCTCGACTCAGAGCGCTTGTTTATCTGCCTTCAACAATACAACTAGTGATGAACGAATTGTTCTTTTAAGCAGATTCTTTTTAATTATTCTGAAGAACCGATTCGCAAAGTGTTTGTAAATCACTTGACAGCAAAATAATTACTTTGATGGTAGAACATTGAGATGAGAACATTGGCAAGAATACTGACTATAAACAATATGATTAATAATTAACATTTATTAATCAACTAGCCTAATAATATATTAGTTACTATTACTGACAACAATGTTGTTACAATATTGTCTGAACAATAAAAACACCTATACAGATAAGCAACAATTTTACTAAAATGAAAGGTAAATTGCAGCACTAAGAACTTATTTTTAGGTCATATTGGGTCTTTGAACTGGAAGGACCAAATGAACAGGAGTTCTGCTAAAATGACAAACCATGAGGCAATAAAACAAAAACAATATTTACTCTAGGACTATATCAATGTGGTTAAAAACAAGGATAAACAACACAATGCATCACTTACTGTAGTTCGCTGGAGGTTACTTTTTTATTATTATAATTAAAAAGTGGTCAACAAGACTTTCCAGAAACATAAGTTATATCATAAGCATCTGATAACTTTCATATTATCTTAGACATCAGTGGTTTGGTTTTTAGTGCATTGCATTTCTCAGTAAAACTGACATCCGGGATCTGACAATGAACAGCTTTTACATCTTTATCTGGGATTTTGTAAAAAAAAAAAAAAAAATACGTAAAATAGATGTTTTTTTATTTTATTTGCTCAGTTACATATTACATCTTTTCTGCTGTTTTTAAACCACAGCACATGTAAAATCTTGTAGAAAAATGCCAAATAATGTAAAAGTTTTTCATTAACTCATTCTAACCATGCAGATAAGTGCATAAAGAAAGTAAATGTCGCTCTACCTTAGCAACATATATTGCTATACAGGTAACATCTCCCAAAACTAAAATCTTATAAAAAAAAATTTAAAAGCTTAAATACAACATAATAAAGACAACACATAGACAAAATAAAACTCCCACTCAGCTCTCATATGACTGACAAATTAGTGACAAATTAGACGCCAACGTTGTCCGAAACAAACTGCTCGCTGACGTGACATAAACCACATAAAACACGTACATACCTGATCAGCAGATATAGTCGCGTGAATTATTTAATTTCGATACCTCTAATATCCGTGTACAAAATCGCTGGACATTATAGAGCACACAAGCTGTGGCAGTCGAAGCACATACTGTTTTGGAAGTTAGTTTCTCAACACCTGCGTATTCACACCACAAACTCCGCCCACTTCCCAGAAAGCACATCCTCGACTCAGAGCGCTTGTTTATCTGCCTTCAACAATACAACTAGTGATGAACGAATTGTTCTTTTAAGCAGATTCTTTTTAATTATTCTGAAGAACCGATTCGCAAAGTGTTTGTAAATCACTTGACAGCAAAATAATTACTTTGATGGTAGAACATTGAGATGAGAACATTGGCAAGAATACTGACTATAAACAATATGATTAATAATTAACATTTATTAATCAACTAGCCTAATAATATATTAGTTACTATTACTGACAACAATGTTGTTACAATATTGTCTGAACAATAAAAACACCTATACAGATAAGCAACAATTTTACTAAAATGAAAGGTAAATTGCAGCACTAAGAACTTATTTTTAGGTCATATTGGGTCTTTGAACTGGAAGGACCAAATGAACAGGAGTTCTGCTAAAATGACAAACCATGAGGCAATAAAACAAAAACAATATTTACTCTAGGACTATATCAATGTGGTTAAAAACAAGGATAAACAACACAATGCATCACTTACTGTAGTTCGCTGGAGGTTACTTTTTTATTATTATAATTAAAAAGTGGTCAACAAGACTTTCCAGAAACATAAGTTATATCATAAGCATCTGATAACTTTCATATTATCTTAGACATCAGTGGTTTGGTTTTTAGTGCATTGCATTTCTCAGTAAAACTGACATCCGGGATCTGACAATGAACAGCTTTTACATCTTTATCTGGGATTTTGTAAAAAAAAAAAAAAAAAGTATGTAAAATAGATGTTTTTTTATTTTATTTGCTCAGTTACATATTACATCTTTTCTGCTGTTTTTAAACCACAGCACATGTAAAATCTTGTAGAAAAATGCCAAATAATGTAAAAGTTTTTCATTAACTCATTCTAACCATGCAGATAAGTGCATAAAGAAAGTAAATGCGTCTGTGTTTACTGCAAAATCTTTCCAGAGTGTGAAACCACAGCTGTTGTTGTTTCTCTTTAAATAGAAAGCAATGCTTCATTATTTGATCCATAGTATGACAAAAACCTCTTACCGTCATTTAGCCGTAACTGGATATACAAGGAGAGACCAGTTCATTTTAAACTCTAAATGGATACTAAATGTGATTGTGAATAAACCTAATGCAAACTGACTTGAAAGGAATGTAGGAGGAGCTTTGTCAAGTTAACCTAATTACATATTTAGACACACTGACTTTCATTTGATTAGCAAAGCAAGACTCCAACCACTTTTTCTTTACAAGCAGGGTCTGAGGGTACTGATGCAATAGATCTCTCAGTTCCTTAAAGAGAAGAAAAAAGAGAGCATATTGCTGTTAGTAAATTAATAAATGTAAGTATTAGGCAAATTAAAACCTCTTTAAAAAGTTAGTTTTGACTGTACTACCTGTGCATGGACAGGACTTTCCACCTCTCCTACAATATGAGTGACGTGTGAGCTCATGAGATCCTCTTCATCACCGTCATATGTGCAGAAACGTTAAGGTGTAAACTATTAGCTCACGCCAACATCAACAAGCTTTCTTATAAATGTGATGATAGACATGTTGTTTTAGTGTAGTAGTTTGTTGGCTTTGTTGAATGTGTGGGTAAAGATGGAACGTGAAAGGATATGTGATAAGGTATCGGGCGAGCTTCTTCTTCTCTGTAGCAGCCATGTTGTAGAAGTAGACATGAACACCTCTCATAAAGTCAGCCAACCCTGGTGCGTCCTGACCTTCATGTGATATAGTGGAGGGTTTTGGTGACTTTGTAAGGTCTTCACTGTGACTAAGGGCACTGGAGGAGTGTGGGGACCCAGATGGCGAGGATGCTGCTGGGTCTGAGGCCGAGTGTGAGGTTGATGGAGTAGATGTGCATGTGGTAGAAGAAACTGTAGAAGAGTGTGAAGTGGCTCGTTTATAATAGTAGCTGAAAAACAAGTCAAGGATAACAAAAGATGCTCATTGTTGTTTCTAAAGGCCCCAATGTTCTTCAAACGAAATCGAAAGCAAAATTAGGCTAAACAAAGTTTGTCTGGAGTTTGTTTAGGTAGTTCAAGACATTTTGCCAAAGCAAACTTTCCAGAAAGGTTTGCTCCGGCTAATTGCCACCTTCAAACTACCATTCGTCTGTGGAGATTACGTAACAAGTAGGCGTGCTGTGGTGCTTCTCCTTCCTTGGTGTGGACATTTTCTATGGTTAATTTCTTCAGTCCGTTGACGTCAGACGTCAATAAAATCATGATCTAACTGGAGCTGCTTCATAGTAAAACTGAAGTTGTAATTCTAATTGAAAGTGACACTGACATTGTTTTTCAAGTCAAATACTGTAAAGCTGCTTTGCTCTAAAGCAAACTATTATATTTAGTGCTATTTAAATAAATGTGACAAGATTTGATTGGAGTCGCTATTATTAGATGCTTTCTTAACTGCTGCTTTCTTTTTCTTTCCGTTTTTTCCTTTTTATTAAAAGGGAAGCGCGACTTTAGTTCATTGTTTTACTAGTATGCAGTTTTTGAGAAAAAATTAGTGCAAACTTTTCAGTTCTTCTCGGGTAGGATACATAAATGTGGAGATGCCTTTGGTGGCCAGGTGCTTGCGAATGAGTCGCTCTGTTCCATACCAGTTGAAGCCTTTAGTGGAGTGACCAATCCGAGGCAGATGGACACTTGCTATTGAAGAAAACACAGAAAATGTTAACTAAAGAGCCATTTACACTAAATGGCCATTTACACAGAACACATTTTTCGAAGCTGAAGTCTTGCGAGAGACACAAACACAATAGACAAACACGTCCTCCCAGTGCATGTTTACACAAAAAGCTGTCAAATATAAACACAGTCCTTGTGAAAGACCTTAAAAGCATAATGATCCATTTAAAAAGACAGCTGCTACATTACACACATTCTTATTTAGAAGCATCTTAAATCTGCAGACATGAGCAAAAACAAAATACAGCTGTACAGTCTAGATTAGGTAAGTTTCTGTTATGCCTAGGCCTTGGGAGTACGCTTTTCTAAGCGTTTTGAAATGAATCCACCTCTTGGAAACAATCCCATCAAATCTTTATGATACTTAAAAAGGGGTGTGCACTGAACTTAGGTTTTAGTACAGCAGGTTTGCAGCAAGGATGTGCATTTCATTGGCAGCTGTACCATCTGTTTTGACTGCATTAATAGATTTTCATATTATATTTCTTTTTTTTTAAATTTCCTTATAAGGTGACTAGAGAAAGCCACCTCATTGCAACCAACTAGTTTCACAAACAAGCGCTGGGTACCCTTCTTTTGTTTGGCATCTCTGTAGATCTTCTTGAGGCCCTCATCCAAGGCAGTGAGCCGAATGCCTGACAAATTGTTGGCATTATCCCTCTGCTGAGCAACTATAAGTGCCAGCTAGAGAAACAGGAGGCATAAAATTATTCAATAAATTAATTAAAAATAATTAACAGCAGTAGATTAAAGACATAAACAGCTTGCCGACTCACATAGTCTCTTCCACTGAGCCTCGACTGTTTGTCATCAATAGGAAAAAGCAGAACATTCCCCAGTTCCAAGTCTGCAACACACAATCACTTTGTCATTTATACATTTTGTTCACTGGATATTGAATTGTGCATGCTCGTTTCAGCCTATTTTTTATATTTAACTTACCTTTGAAGTCAACAAACACTCACTGAAAATTTATAAAATCTAATAATTTTATATCATTGTTAAATATAAACTACCAATCAAAAGTTTTTTTTTTTGACAAATGAATACTAATGCAAGGATGCATTAAATTGATCAAAATCTTTATCTTAAAAAGGGGTGTGCACTGAACTTAGGTTTTAGTACAGCAGGTTTGCAGCAAGGATGTGCATTTCATTGGCAGCTGTACCATCTGTTTTGACTGCATTAATAGATTTTCATATTATATTTCTTTTTTTTTTTTATTTCCTTATAAGGTGACTAGAGAAAGCCACCTCATTGCAACCAACTAGTTTCACAAACAAGCGCTGGGTACCCTTCTTTTGTTTGGCATCTCTGTAGATCTTCTTGAGGCCCTCATCCAAGGCAGTGAGCCGAATGCCTGACAAATTGTTGGCATTATCCCTCTGCTGAGCAACTATAAGTGCCAGCTAGAGAAACAGGAGGCATAAAATTATTCAATAAATTAATTAAAAATAATTAACAGCAGTAGATTAAAGACATAAACAGCTTGCCGACTCACATAGTCTCTTCCACTGAGCCTCGACTGTTTGTCATCAATAGGAAAAAGCAGAACATTCCCCAGTTCCAAGTCTGCAACACACAATCACTTTGTCATTTATACATTTTGTTCACTGGATATTGAATTGTGCATGCTCGTTTCAGCCTATTTTTTATATTTAACTTACCTTTGAAGTCAACAAACACTCACTGAAAATTTATAAAATCTAATAATTTTATATCATTGTTAAATATAAACTACCAATCAAAAGTTTTTTTTTTTGACAAATGAATACTAATGCAAGGATGCATTAAATTGATCAAAATTGACTGTAAAGACACTAATAATGTTACAAAAGATTTCCATTTCAAATACATGCGGTTCTTTTGAACAATAAAATTGAGTGTTTTAGTTAGTAACATATTTAGAGAATATAGTGTAGAATTGGAATTGTGCAATTGGTTTTGGTTAACCGAAAGCCATTCTAACTAAAATGTTACTACTAGCTTTATAGCTCTGATACCACAAACTTCGCGAAATCCCCAACATTTAAACATCACATTAATAGGTATTAAATCAATGCTGACAGTTTTATGAACAATTATCTTGCAGGCAGCCTAATGAGCTGTGAACCGGATACTGATTTCAGTGTGGAATGTTTGTTTTGACACAGCATGAGTTAGACCCGTCTCAGCAAACAGGAAAGGTTTGTCACCTTCCATGTCTCCAGCCAACTCGTACTGCTTCTTCGGCTCATCTGATCTGAGCTCCAGTGCGGTAAACAATCCTCCTCGGCCCCAGTATCCAGAGTCATCTACACAATAAACACACATACACAACAAATCATGCCAAATTAGCAGAAAGCTGAGATTGTTATAAAAAGGCCCCGTATTTGTTAACATATCATGCAGGATAATCAATATGTTAACAGTTGTCTTCTGACAGCGAGGCGTTTTAATAGAGACATACCAACACAGTGCACAATAATGGCATCCTCTCGATCAGCCTGAGGGTGAGTTACATCACCCAGCACATAGCGAATGGCTGTGTGATCCGAATCAGTGGAGCTCCAGCTGACGACATCATCATCATCTTCATCAGGCTCTATATCCTCACCCTCACTGTCGACTCGCGGCAAGCACAGCGATTTGTAGCCACATGATTCCCACCATGCCATCCTGCCATTGAAGGATACACATACAAACAAGGCTATAAAATAGACATCCACGGGAACATACAAATAAATATAGTATATACTGGCCAAAAATATGCAACAGAATGCCAGAAATAATTTTTTTTTTTACTTCTTCTTGTAATTTAGTTCTTCCTGTTGCTTTTTCCTTTCCTCCTGTAGCTTCGCCCTCTTTGCAGCAGCGTCTTGTCTCTTCTGACGTCTCTGTTCTAACTCTGATTCTGTAAGAGGTCTCTTCTTCCTCCCTGGGTCGATCAAGGGCCCAGACAGGGACATCTGATGAGCAGCAACAGACTTTTTTTTATTTTTATTAAATAAATACATGAATAAATACAAGAAATAAAAAGAAATACTAAAATATGAATTATTATCTATTTATCATGAAAGAAAAAAAATTACCAACTAGCAGTCTAAACAATTTAATTCACATTATACACCACCATTCAAAAGTCTGGGTTTGGTAAGACTTTTTTAATGTTTTTAAAAACAGGTCTCTTATGTTTACCAAGGCTGCATTTTTGGATCAATAAAACAGTAATGTTGTAAAATATTATTACAACATAAAATAACCGTTTTCGATTTTAATATATTTTAAAATGTAATTTATATACAAAATTTTCAACAGCAATTACTCCAGTCTTCAGTGTCACGCAATCCTTCAGAAATCATTCTAATATGCTGATTTGATGCTCAAGCAAGATTTATTATTATTATCAATGTTAAAAACAGTTGTGCTGCTTAATATTTTTGTGGAAACCCTGATACTTTTTCAGGATTCTTTGATGAAAAGAAAGTTAAAAAGAAAAGCATTTATTTTAAAATAGAATTGTTTGTAACAATCATTTACACTAAATAATTTCATCATTTACTGTCACTTTTGATCAATGTAATGTGTCCATGCTGAATAAAAGTACTAATAAAAAATAAAATAATGATAGTAGTAATAAATAATAGTAAAACTGAGATATACATAAATACATGTATGACCTAAATTTTTTGAATAGTAGTGTAACCTTTCAAATAAGTTACCCCGGCTTTATTACGAAGTGCACGGCCCTCCTTCCCAGCATCCTCTAGATCAGCTAACTGCTTCTCAAGTAACAGTTCAAAGGTCTTCTCATCCTCGGCACTGGGGTCTTTAGAGTAGTCCTTACCCTCGAAGTAGTACATGTGGTCTAGAAAGTCAGAAAAGACATTAACGGATCATCTAATTTTCAAGTGCCAGTTACAACAAGATTACTGAACAAAAGCTAAGTGTTGTACTTTGACCCTCCATGTCCTCATCTTCCTCTTCATCGCTCTCATTAAGCTTAACATGCTCTTCATCCGTTAGCCATCGGCCGTCTCGAGACTGCCCCAGGATCAGCCTTAGGTCTACGTCTTGAATGGAGCTCTCCTCTGATGACAGCAGCTTATCCACACCAAACTTCAGGATCTCACTCAACTAGATTGGTGGGGATGTAAGTGATAGCATACTGAGAAACTGTTAACATGTGCAGTTTCACAAGAAGGGAAACCACAAGTACACAGACAAAGATATGAACCAGGAAACAGGGCAAAGTCACAATGTGATGAGCTTAAGAGATAAGGACATGTGTCTCTCTCCACCTGAAGGCCAGAAGCTGCAGATTGAGCCTGGTCCAGCAGAGAAAAACGTCCCTCCTCAATCACTGTGTCTGTGAGACGTAGTTTAGACACAGCACGGGAATAGATGATCTCTTCTACAGTATCTCTACCGAGAAGCCGGATCACTTTAACAGGCCTGCGATCAAAAAGATAATTTATCTACATATACAAGCAGAGTGTCCTTAAACTGGGACATTTAATGCATGTTAATGCTGCTCTGTGCCATACAATGAAAGTATATGGTGATGGAACAACCTAAAATATGCATTTTGCCAGTGGAATACCTTGTTTGGCCAATCCTGTGGGCTCTGGCTGCAGCTTGTAGGTCATTCTGTGGGTTGAAATCACTGTTCACAAATATCACAGTATCTGCTGCTGTTAGGTTCATACCAACCCCTCCTAAAAATACAAAAAAGTTTGGGTATAGAAAGATTTTGAAAGAAGTCTCTTAAGCTCACCAAGGCTGCATTTATTTGATCAAAAATACAGCAAAACATAATATTGCAAAATATAATTACAACTTAAAATAACTGTTTTCTATTTTATATATTTTATTTATTCATGTGATGGCAAAGTTGGAAATAAATCAATAAAAAAAATCATGTTTTTTCATTGTGCATTCCAATGAATCTCAAACAAACTGCAGTAGGGTTATTTTGATTAGGTAAAAAATAACTAAAAAATACAGCTAACTAACACAATAAAAAAACATGATAACATAATAAAAAAAAAACATGATTTTTGAAGTTATCTGTTTTTGCAAATAAACTCTTCATATATATATATATATATATATATATAATGCTGATTTGATGCTCAAGCAAGATTTATTATTATTATCAATGTTAAAAACAGTTGTGCTGCTTAATATTTTTGTGGAAACCCTGATACTTTTTCAGGATTCTTTGATGAAAAGAAAGTTAAAAAGAAAAGCATTTATTTTAAAATAGAATTGTTTGTAACAATCATTTACACTAAATAATTTCATCATTTACTGTCACTTTTGATCAATGTAATGTGTCCATGCTGAATAAAAGTACTAATAAAAAATAAAATAATGATAGTAGTAATAAATAATAGTAAAACTGAGATATACATAAATACATGTATGACCTAAATTTTTTGAATAGTAGTGTAACCTTTCAAATAAGTTACCCCGGCTTTATTACGAAGTGCACGGCCCTCCTTCCCAGCATCCTCTAGATCAGCTAACTGCTTCTCAAGTAACAGTTCAAAGGTCTTCTCATCCTCGGCACTGGGGTCTTTAGAGTAGTCCTTACCCTCGAAGTAGTACATGTGGTCTAGAAAGTCAGAAAAGACATTAACGGATCATCTAATTTTCAAGTGCCAGTTACAACAAGATTACTGAACAAAAGCTAAGTGTTGTACTTTGACCCTCCATGTCCTCATCTTCCTCTTCATCGCTCTCATTAAGCTTAACATGCTCTTCATCCGTTAGCCATCGGCCGTCTCGAGACTGCCCCAGGATCAGCCTTAGGTCTACGTCTTGAATGGAGCTCTCCTCTGATGACAGCAGCTTATCCACACCAAACTTCAGGATCTCACTCAACTAGATTGGTGGGGATGTAAGTGATAGCATACTGAGAAACTGTTAACATGTGCAGTTTCACAAGAAGGGAAACCACAAGTACACAGACAAAGATATGAACCAGGAAACAGGGCAAAGTCACAATGTGATGAGCTTAAGAGATAAGGACATGTGTCTCTCTCCACCTGAAGGCCAGAAGCTGCAGATTGAGCCTGGTCCAGCAGAGAAAAACGTCCCTCCTCAATCACTGTGTCTGTGAGACGTAGTTTAGACACAGCACGGGAATAGATGATCTCTTCTACAGTATCTCTACCGAGAAGCCGGATCACTTTAACAGGCCTGCGATCAAAAAGATAATTTATCTACATATACAAGCAGAGTGTCCTTAAACTGGGACATTTAATGCATGTTAATGCTGCTCTGTGCCATACAATGAAAGCAAATGGTGACCAAGAACTGTCAAGTTCCAAAAAAGGACAAAAAATGGTCGAATGGTTCTAAGGACTGGGATTAGAAGTCACATGGATCACTTTTGTTGTACTTATTTTTTATATGCTTGACACTTCAAAACTAGATAGAACAACATAAAATTTTGCCAGTTGAATACCTTGTTTGGCCAATCCTGTGGGCTCTGGCTGCTGCTTGTAGGTCATTCTGTGGGTTGAAATCACTGTCCACAAATATCACCGTATCTGCTGCTGTTAGGTTCATGCCAACCCCTCCTAAAACAACAAAAATGTTTGGGTATAGAAAGTCTCTTATGCTCACCAAGTCTGCATTTATTTGATCAAAAATACAGCAAAACATAATATTGCAAAATATAATTACAACTTAAAATAACTGTTTTCTATTTTATATATTTTATTTATTCATGTGATGGCAAAGTTGGAAATAAATCAATAAAAAAAATCATGTTTTTTCATTGTGCATTCCAATGAATCTCAAACAAACTGCAGTAGGGTTATTTTGATTAGGTAAAAAATAACTAAAAAATACAGCTAACTAACACAATAAAAAAACATGATAACATAATAAAAAAAAAACATGATTTTTGAAGTTATCTGTTTTTGCAAATAAACTCTTCATATATATATATATATATATATATATA